AACACCAATTAATAGTATAATTTCAGAAGACCATAAATCTCGAGAGGAACAGATTTTTAAATGCTACTATAGCAATACCGTTACCAATTAGCCTACCCATATTTGCGTTCTTCTCAAGGCATTCAAAATACACGTCCTGTGGGCGAAGATCTTTTATATGTATTTTCAAAAATTTATACTTTTACATATTATAATGTACTAGACGTTATTCTATAACATAGTTCAATCGCCTTTAACATGGCAAGCTTTAGTAACCCAATCTATTTTCATAAACCACTGTTCCATAGCTTGATGGCCCTGACTCCAGTTAGTATCATTCAAAATGGTGGACAAACATCTTTCGTTCTCGGTAAACATGATGAGCTATTGGATATTATCATGATATTATCTGTCATCCATCTGTGGAACAGTGATAAACTAGTAGATGTACAGGGGCGGATCTGGGAACCAACAAGGGGGGGGGCAAATTTCAGGTCAGAGAAAAACACGTCCGCGCTTGCTGGGAAAAAAATTTTGGGCCCCTAAAACCCAAAAGTGGGCCCAAATTTTGAAATTTAGAGGCCCATTTTCTTCAAAATTTGGCCTGAAATTAACAAATAAGGCCTTAAAAGGCCCATTAATGATCAAAAAGGCCCACTTTTTGGGGCCTGAAGGCCTTTTTTGGCCAAAAATCTTTTAAGGGCCCAATTTTTTTTCTGGGCCCACCAAAGGGGGGGGGGGCGGGCCCCCAGGCCCCCCCCCCCTAATCCGCCAGTGATGTACGTTACCACTGTTTATCAAATTATAACTAAAACAGTTTAACTGTGACATTCGTGAGCTGATGTTGATGGGATGATTGCTTCATCTATGATATAATATGACATGATTCTTTATTTCCTACAATTTGGAGAGCCAACGTGTAAAAACGTCTAATTGACTTTATTAGAGAGGCCGTTTAGTTACACGTTTAATGGAAATCTTGCACGACGCACATGTAGAATTATTGCTCTCTTTGGATTCCTTCTCTCCGACTGAGTAAAAAGGTAAACAAAAGTGATAAGATTTAGGGCCCAAAAAGGTAAATTGATAGGGGTACAGTTATCCCAGATATCCCGGGCCCTCGGGAAATATCATATTGTCTCTCGAAATAAAACCAATATTGAGTCCCTCTCAGTAAATAACTTTTATATAATAGCATTGTATAACTGCAATATCATTAAACCAACACTCATCCTATACAACTCTTGAGAACGATGTACAACTCCTGGATAGCGTAAACTCCTGAGCAGCGTATACAACTCTTCAACTTGATATATGACATCATACTTTGGGTGGGATAACAAAGGATATACAATATACAATTGTAGACCCCTCTTGAGGTCAACTGGCAAAATTGTATACCGATACTGTAAATGTTGAAAGTACTGTTGATCACTGAGACCAGATGTCGAGGACACTTTTGCCAGTTGACCGAAAAGAGAGGTTAACAATTGTTCTGTTAGTCCAAATAATATAATAATTGGACGAATATATAATCGAATATCACGTGAACATATTTGATAAGTAAAGGTATCATATTTTAGCAAAAAATCCCCAAACCGTCGAATGCTTGTAATTTTTTACACAACTTATTTTTTCAAAATTAAAAAAATTTCAACATTAAAAAAAACAATTTTTCAAAAATAGGGGTCAACAGTACCTAGTAGTGGTCAACAGTTTACAATTGTTGACCTCCCCAGAGGCCAACCGGCAAAATTGTATACCGAGACTGTAAACCGAAAAATACTGTTGACAGAGACCGAAGGTCGAGGTATATGATTTTGACGGTTGATCGAATGGAGAGGTCTACTATTGTTTTGTTAGTCCGAGTAAACTAATAATACACATATAGACGACGATCATCAATCGGCATGGCTTCATTTCACAACCTTTTCTCCGAACCACGTTAGCAATATTTTTTTAGAAAATATGGAGACAGTGCAAGAAGCTTAACTCTGTATTTGGCACATCACGGCGTACTCGTTAGTGAATTAATGTTAATTTTAAGTTTCTATTTGTATTTTTGCTATACTTGTCGCCTAGTAAAGTCATTTTCATCAACACTTACAAAATGTCCGTCTTCCATGATTTTTTGTGACGTCATGAAACTTTTTTCAGAAGTAGCGGTCAACAGTACCTAGTAGCGGTCAACAGTGAACAAATAGTGACTGCCATTGAGGGAAATAGTGCAAAATATTTTCCTCAAGGGAATATCCTGTCCACTGACATGTTCCCGAGGCTGCAGGCCGAGGGAACAAGTCAGTGGACAGGATATTCCCGAGAGGAAAATTTTTACACTATTTCCCGAAAATGTGGCAGTCACTATTTGTTTTATTATATACCTGATAAAGTGATAAGTACTCTGTAAACAAAAACAAAATTGAGAAGTCTTTTCATTTCAATATCAAATGTTCACAGGTTCTTATTGGCATTTAAAGGCATTTTACCTTTCAACTCCTATAATCTCAGATTTGGGGGAAGATAAAATGTACTATTGACTGGTCACATGACCTAACTGGTGATTAGTACAATTCATCTTCCCTGAAAGCAGGGATTTAGGACTTTCCAGGGAATTTGTTCATCTATTCCATGTCATGTGACCATGAATAAGCCAATGAGCATCTAGAATACATTTGAGGTATATAATAATACATAATTTTGACCGCTAATCACCCAATCAGAATCGAGTATTTCAGTTGAGGTACTAACAATACATTTTGTTGCCCGCTCATCAACCAATCAGAATTGAGTATTTCAATTGAGGTACTAACAACACAAAATGACTGATATCTGTTGTCTTTCCAAAATTATATTAGTTATTTGTAAGCAATTTCCATACGGTAAATCAAGGGCATTTAATTTAGAAAATGTATAATCTTTATTTTTCAGATACAATATCAATGAGATTGCCTCCCGAGGATTCTGTACTTTATTTAGTTTGCCTTGTATATCCTTTTAACTTTGATATAGACAAAGAAACCAAACAAAATACGTTTCGTCCATGGACCACTGACTCACGCGTTTTATTCATGTCCCGACCTACACCTGTAAACAGAACATAAAACAGTTTCTCTTGTTGTTCAATGATACATTATATTGGCGTTTTTGCATCAGCACATTGGTGTTGTTGCATCATCGATAAGAAACAGAGTGGTGTTGTTGCATCAATAGTGAGGAATTAAAACCACGAATTTATCGCTTCTTGATGATGCTACATGTATACCAATGACAGTTTTTTAAAATATAGATCATGTGCTAACTGCATGTGTATGATTATTGAGCAACTCGTCCTAGAAATGGGTGTAAATTGGGAAAACAAAACATCGTACGAAAATCTATCACCGGAAGTCTGGCCATCTTGATGCAACAACACGGTGTTGTTGCATCACGATACCCCCCAGTGAAAAAGTAGTGACATATTGTTCATGGTCTCTGTGTTTTTTTTGTAGTGCAGTTGGCGATTGGCAGTTGGCGTCTGTAGCAAATTCCAATAACTTAACAAATACTGTTTAAACTGACTTCAGTTTTTCAAAATCATCTACAAGTTTTTTGAAGTTCAAATCTGACTTTTAGACTTAACCTTCATTGACCTTCTCAAGGTCAAAAACGGTCTTTTTTCAACTTGCTAAAATTGACCAAATTTCTTTTTCAAAATCATCTACAAGTTATCAGAAGTTCAAATCTGACTATAGATTTGACCTTCAATGACATTCTCAAGGTTAAAAAAATAAACTTGTTTCAAATTTACCAATTTTTTTCAAAATCATCTTCAGGTTCTCAGAAGTTCAAATCTGACTTTAGATTTGAGATGTCACCTTCAATGACCTCGCTCAGGTTCAAAAAGGTATTTTTTCAACTTGCTTCAAACTGACCAATTTTTTATTAAATCTCTACAAGTTCTTAGAAATTCAAATCTGACTTGAACTAATTAATTGAACTAATAATAATGTGATGTTATTTATTACGTCAAAATGTTGCATCTGTTGCACAAAATGGAAAATTTTGATTCTACACCAATCAAAATCAAATGATTCCCTATATTTAACAAATAAATTATAATCAAAACCAATAAAATTCTATGTTAGGATTTCTAAAAAAAACTCTTAAAAGTGAAGAAATGAGAGTAAATATATAGACTTGGAACTTGTTCTGCCCCGGCTACTATTAAAATTCACTGTATTCTGTTCAGTATTATGATTACACAACAATCAAATAATATACCTCATCTACATACTATTAATAGGTCAGAGATAAGAGATACAATTGCTAATAGACATGCCCACAATGACATGGCAGTTTCTAAGGGGTAGCTCCTGCAGAGTCCCTGACCATAGTTTCATTTACTTCTTATTGAAATTTCTGTTCTATTTCCCCTCATCATTTATCAGTATTACCTCTGATGAATTGAGCTTTATGCAATATATATTGTTATTTAAAACACAGACCTAATATGATGTGGTTTGTAAATGTCAATAAAAATAATGCTTTAAAAATGTAATGGCAGCCATGCATATGAGTGATACATACAAGCAGGAATAATGGCAATTTATGAACTGAACTCCTCTTAATCCTACCTACTATGAGAGCCTCTTTGTTGTCTATATATAAAGAGATTAGAAGAGATAAAGACAGTTTGAGACTAAGCTAGAATTGAAGCTTGAATTCAACTGTCAGCTGTCAGTTGATGCCTTGACAGTCGTTCCATGGCCAACTCATTTAAATAGCAATATGAATAGTAGAAAGTACTATTCATATTTAAATGAGTTGGCTTCAAAATAACTATCAAATCGTGGTTTCAGATGTGTAGCTTAACAGAAAATTTTCTTAAACGTGTACTTGAGCGTGGACCTGCGACTTCAGGTTCACATTTCAACATGTAGCTTAACCTCTCTAGTATGACATCATCTCCCAACACTATTAACCAGCAAAGCATTGGTCTGAAGCTGATCAAAGCTCAGTGAATAGTAAAGTGATCAACCTACCTTTTCTTTCTACTACTGCAACTTCACCCTCTTCTCCTAATTCTCCATCTTCATTTGTTTCTGCAACAAAATAACATTAATTCATAAATGACACATATGAAGATTATCAGAAATGAAAAATAAAGTGTATAATTGACACAAATGATGATTGACACAAATGGTAATTGACACAAATGGAAATTGACACCCATCATTATAACTGATGCAGATTATAACTTGAGACAAACATTTGCAACATTCTGAATACACTGAAGTTTTCCTACAAAGAGATAAATGTTTTGGTCTTTCTCAGCAAAACAAACTTGATTCAGTTTATTGACAGTAACTGTCGCAAAAATTACTAAATATAGTTATAGTTGACAAACATCAGCATTGTTATACAAAAATATGAATGTTTTCTGACACCGATATTTGTTCTAGGTAGTGAGGTAGCACCGAAAAATGTACCCGCTTCTGAACAAATTGAAATTACTTGTTTCTTATGTATTTTTATGTGATACTTCAGAAAATTTTTGTCTGACGCGCCATATCCGGGGCGAAAGTTGTCAAAATTTGGTTTTTGACTCTAAAAAGGAAAATTACAGGGGGTACATTAACATCATTGAATAATTCATTCAGTTAGTCTTCAATCATCATAATGATTTTATTGAGAGTTGATGAGATCATTTTAAGGTAGTATGCAAACTTTCAATGGTCTGTCACTCGTTGTTGCCATGGAAACCACATTTTTTGCTGAGAAAATCCTTAATTTTGGTAAAACCTGTACCTGTACATAATATAGAATGTGGATTATTTTTCAAATCAACAGATATCAGAACATTTTAGCACTCTAAAAATCACCAGGGCTGTCCAAACATTTGTTTAAAGAGAAAGAATATTGCAATTTATATGACTGGTAAGTGTCAAAGACCATACAATTACATAAGTGGTCAAAAGTGGGCGTCGCCCTCATAATAGTAGTTGATTGCCATTCTCTATAAATATAGAGTTTTACTTGACTTTTGAGATACATTTATATTGAATTTCTTTGGTTATACTTAGTATCAAGCATATTTACATCTAAGTGTTATAGTTATTGCATGGGGATACAGGGGGGAGGGGAGTAGTAACAGAATTGGGAGGGGGCAGAGCTTATCAGCCTTAAAGCAGATATGAAATGGTATTTTTAACCTAAGGGAATCAATTTGATTTTTTGATAAATGTATTTGGACATGTTTTCTCATCAGTAATGTGAAAATTATTTCACTCTAACGATCGTTAATAGCTGCTTAATAAGCAATATTCGAATTGGTTGTGACGTTATTGGCCCCCACGTGATCTCTCACTGGCCCCCACGTGGCCCGTTTTGGTCCATTAGATCATGACGTCATAATGCCAAAATGTTTGGTTATTTGTTTACACAACAATCCTATGGTTGCCGTGACGTTGTGATTACTAAGGAAGCAATAAACCAAAGCTATATTTTGTATATGACGTTACTAATCACGTGGGGGCCAATTTGATCCATCAGTTTGTTTTATTTCGTTATCTATGACCGTTAGCAGTTATCTTACATTTATTTTATAATGGCTATCACAAGAACTCTACGTTGGGCTTACAATGGAGAAAACCGCATTTTTGTAGATGCAAGTTGAGAAAAGCTATTTCAGTTGTCCTTTAAGTGTAAATCTCATCTCCATGGTTCTAGATTTCATAGGGTACAGCTTCTGGGTCTTATTATATTCATCTCAATATATAAGATATAAGAATTTACATGGTTGGTAAGTGTCAAAGACCATAGAATTACACATGTGATCAAAAGTGGGCGTCGCCCTAATCATAGTATATGGTTCATTCTCTATAAATACAGAGTTTAACTTGACTTTTGAAGTACATTTACTTAAAAACATCTTTGATTTATACTTAATGTCAAGCATTTCTGGTAAGTTATATATGTACATCTAATTGTAATAGTTATTGTCTGGGGGTGGAGGAGGGGGGGGGGGTGAGAGTAACAGAATTGGAAATGGGCAGAGCTAATAAGCCTTAAATGTAAATCTCATTTATTTAGTTCTGGATTTCAAGGGGTGCATCTTCTGGGTCTTCTTCACATTCATCTCAATATATGGGATATTCCAATTTACATGATTGGTAAGTGTCAAAGACCATACAATTACATAAGTGATCAAAAGTGGGTGTTGCTCTAACAATAGTAGATAATTCATTCTCTATAAATATGGAGTTTAACTTGACTTTAAGATTTATTTTTTAAATTAAAACTTCTTTGATTACATTTAGTATTGTAATAGTTATTCTCTGTGGGGGGGCAAGGGGGGTAGTAGCAGAAATGGGAGGGGGCAGAGCCAATGGCCAGTCAGTCTTAAGTATTAATATCATAATCTGATCATTTTCATTCACCTCCCGATGTTAATATATTAACAATATCATGTGGGAGAATATACCACTACACTTGCAGATTTGAGAGTCATTCAGTTGAGTGTATCTATATGGTGCTCCACCTTTGCCTTTTAAAAAGGTGCTATTGCTATTGCCCCTTCTGCATGGCACTTCATCTGTGAATGTGTGAAGTGCTAGGAAGGCTGCATATATGTCAGGGTCTATATTGGAGGAAATACCACTGACATCAGTCTTCATTTGTTTCCAACTCAAGTATCCAGCAGCACACTTTGCTGTATTTGCTTTTTGTTTTCATCATCATACAAGAACTAATTCCAATCTTTAGGGACTCGTGTTTTTCTACCTTAAATAGGGCAAGGTGTCCCTCCCCTCTTTCAGGTTCCTTTATAGAATTTTTGATGTAATTAGCACATACAAAAACTAATCAATCTGCAATTGTAGAATCTTGAAACAGTCTCCGCCAGATCCAGAAACAAAACTACCTTTCAAGTTGAATTATGGTTTGGGATAGTTGGGGTTTGTTTTCCTTATGACTTGTATACATTTAGAAGTTTTCTTTTTCTTGCTGGGTTCTATTACAAATTTTGGTCCTTTCCCTTTGGCACTTGTGGGTACATGTTCATGCATAGGAATGCGTTTCTCTGTTCTTGCAAGAAGTCCAGTCAGTGTTCCTAGAGCCCAAGGCACAGGGCTCAATAGGAACTGCAGGAGACATTCTAGGCTAATTTTATGTTCTACCAATGTTCTATCTTGATCTGCAGCAAGATCAAAGCTGTTCAAAGATGTTTCATTCAGAATGTATTTGTATAAGCTTGTTCTGAGTACTTTTTTACTGTCACTGTCACTGTTGCTGCTGTAGTTTGCTGCTGTAGTTTTCAATTTCATATGTTTTATTAGATCATGAAATCTTTTTTTCAACTAATCTCAGATGGTATCTCTTAATGCAATTTCCCCTTTTGACTAAAATTAGATGAGATCTGCAGCGACATCATTTGGCACAGATTTTCCTTATGATACACCGTAGAGATGACCTTCATCCTCAATGGTAAATGGATCAAGGAAGTCTTTGATTGCGGTTTTTGTCATCTTTATGTCTTTTTCTATACTTGCTATTTGTGCCTTTCCAAGGTCATTATGGGTGTCACACTCATCTCATCTCTAGATAATAGATTGTTGTAACCATCTCATCCATATAAAGCACTTATTGTCTGTATGGCCCATATTGCAAATCCCCGTAGTGAACCACCAGATGGACTTGAATGGAAACTAAATGACTCCATATCTTTCCAGTGGGTATTTACTGATATTCTCATACAAGAGATTGGTGATATAGCAACACCAGGAGATGAATCAGAAAACTCCAGAAGATGTACCCTATGAAATCCAGAATTAAAAAGATGGATTTATACTTAAGGCAGATTAGATCTACACATTCTAATTCTGTTACTACTCACCCCTGCCCAAATGTAAAAACTATAATACTTACACAGAAGTATTTATCAGAAATGCTTGACATAAATTATAATAACAGCAGTTCAGTATAACTATGAATGTATCTCAAAAGTCAAGTTCAATTTTGTATTTACAGTATACAAAGAACCAATCATCTACTATTGTAATGGTGACACTCCTTTTGATCATTTATAAATATGTAATTGTATGGTGTTTGACAAATCCTGTAAACTGTAATATCCCATATATTGAGATGAATATGAAGAAGACCCAGACGATGTGCCCCATGAAATCCAGAACTATGCAGATGAGATTTATACTTAAGGCTGATTACCTCTGCCTCCTCCCTAGTCTGTTACTACTCTCCCCCATCCTCCTCCAGGCAAGAACTATTACAATTAGATGTGCATTACTAACCAGAAATGCTTGAAATTAAGTACATGTATATTCAAAGAAGTTGTAATGTAAATGTATCTCAAAAGTCAACTTAGACTCTGTATTTATAGAGAATGAATCTATGATAAGGGCGACGCCCACTTTTGATCACTTGAGTAATTCTATGGTCTTTATACTTACCAATCATGCAGAATTATAATATCCTATATGAATGTGAAGAAGACCCAGAAGATGTACCCCATGAAATCCAGAACTATGTAGATGAGATTTATACTTAAGGGTGATTAGCTTTGCCCTCTTCCAATTCTTTTACCCCCCCATCTACCCCCTCCCGATGCAATAAGTATAACACTTACATGTACATTATTTACCAAAAATGCTTCATATTTAGTATAACCAAAGAACATCATTATAAATGTATCTCAAAAGTCAAGTAAGACTCTGTATTTTTAGAGAATGGCAATCATCTACTATGATAAGGGCGACGCCCACTTTTGATCACTTATGTAATTGTATGGTCTTTGACACTCCCCAGTTATGTTAATTGCAATATCCTTTATATTTAAATAAATGTTTGAACTGCCCTGGTGATTTTGAAAATGCTAAAATGTTCTGATATCTGTTGATTTGAAAAATAATCCACATTCTGTATTATGTACAGGTACAGGTTTTACCAAAATTAAGGATTTTCTCAGCAAAAATTGTGGTTTCCATGGCAACGACGAGTGACAGACCATTGAAAGTTTGCATACTACCTTAAAATGATCTCATCAACTCTCGATAAAATTATTATGATGATTGAAGACCAACTGAATGAATTATTCAATGATGTTAATGTACCCCCTGTAATTTTCCTTTTTAGGGTCAAAAACCCAATTTTGACAACTTTCGCCCCGGATACGGCGCATCAGACAAAAATTTTCTGAAGTATCACATAAAAATACATAAGAAACAAGTAATTTCAATTTGTTCAGAAGCGGGTACATTTTTCGGTGCTACCTCACTAACTATTCTGCAAAGATGGAGGAAAAGACCTTTCTAGACATGCCCTCTTTTGTCAAAATGAAGAAACAAAAATATAATTGCTAGATTCATAATGTCACAGGTTGTTGGAAGCAATGTTTCCAATCAGAAAAGTATGATGAACATAAAACTTCTTAGGCTTCTGTTACACTGAGGTACAACCTTTGAAATCAGGAAGTTAGCCAATATGTCTTGCAATGCGTTTGTGCATTCAAATACATGAATACTCTAAAATTGACTAATGAGTCTTCAAATATCAGCAAAATGTATATGAGTGTGTCTTTAAACCACTGACTCTCTCCCCTCTGATAATCCTGTAATATTACAGTGATACATATAATGTAATTTTTTTTTATAACTATTATTTATTTCATTGATATAGTTTAAAATACAATTACAAAAGCATCCCTAAATCGCCAGAGGGCATTATATAGGAATGGTGAGAGGCTGGGGGTGGCAGGCAGACAGGGTTCCTGGCCGGAGCAGGTGTGACAGGACAACAGGATATCAGAAAGAGAGACATGAGGGAGGGAATTAGCTATTGTCTATAATGAAGTCAAGTATCAGTGAAATGGCTTTAGAGTTTACATCTATGCTTAAGTTTGGGCTTCCTGTTTTCAAAATGGAGATGAAATCATACTGGGGAAGATTATTATTGAGAGAAGGTTCTAATTCAGCAAGTTTTTCCCAGAGATCCTGTCTCACTAAGGTTAAGCGATTGCGCTGGAAAAGAATATGCTTTAAGGTTTGAGAGCTGCCACAAGCACAATTAGGGCTGTCAACAGAGTTAAAATATTTTGGGCATAAATTTTAGCTTTAAAAAATAAGTCAGCTCTCACTTTATTAACCACTATCTCATGCCATCTAGAAAGATTGAGTTGGCTTGTGGTCAAAATTTTAGAGGGGTTTTGGAGGAAAAGCCGTTGGTGTTTTTTGAAAATTATGAAGAGTTTTCTTAGTTTTAATAAAAGGGGGGAGCTCTAGCCATTTTGAGATTGCAGAAGGTAATGCTGAGGATGAAAATCTAGCAGAGCATCTTATGGGCATTTTGAATGGATCAATGTATCTCAAGTTTCTATTCCTAACATTACTATACTTATCAAAAATGTCTGTGATATATGAGGGACTTGTACCATTGGCAACTTTGAACATAAAATTATTTGATTGTATTCTACGTCTGGATTCAAGTGTTGGCCAGTTTAGGAGACTTAGAACCTTTTCTGTACTGCTCCCTTGGATGCAGCCAGAACGATAGAGCGCCGCTGTGTAATATAGACTATCGAGTCTTCGCAAAAGATATTTAGAAGCTGTGCCATATAAAATGGCACCATGAATAATGTAATATAATGTAATGTATAATGTATAGGTTCCCCTTCTGCGACTGTGAAACTTTCAATACACGTAGTGACATCTATTGATGATACAAGATTATTTCTGAGATTCCATAAACTTTTTCTATCCACGTGCATATTTTTTTGAAGTATAATTAAAAAATATAGACCTAAGAGGAGGGTTTATATTGTCGAATACACCCCGCAGGGCTAGGCACAAAGGTTTCCTGTACCCCGAATGACCGAATGGAGTGAGGGGTTCGAAAGCTTTTGTGCCTAGCCCTAAGGGATGTATTCGACGATATTACACCTGCTCTGAGGTCTATATTACGATTCGAAAATGAAAACTCAGCAAAATGTTTAGAATATTCATTATGGTCCGCCATTACTACGGTCCGCCGTTATGACGTCACACATTACACGTATTACGAGGGGTATTGTTCGCGAATATACCCCGGGTGAAATGTTGACTTTGTTGACAGTTTATAGAAGGCGTGAATACAGTCATGTTCGAATTTATGATATTTCATTCTGAGACTGATAACTTGCCATAGTTTAATTTGAACACTTTGAATAAGATTTCAATTTATGAATTGCTTTCTATAATGTCCACATTCTTCTATCAACTCCCCAAATGACAATATTTGGGCAGATTTTGCTTCAAAATCTTTGCACCAGAAATAAACAAAAACTGCTCATTCTGGAATTCAGTCGCCTTGCCCAAGTCGGTCTCTTTTACTTATATTGAATTCTATTATGACCGCCTTGTACCCAAGAGAAAGCCACGTGCTTTACCGACCCAATGTTTATGTCGGTAAAATTTGACCAATCAACGACAGCCCTGACGCGTTAGCCCATTATTATGCACGGTCAAAAACAAATACACTTTTCACGAACAAATCTTGCACAAATTCATCATGAAAAAAACAAATATTTTATCAGATAAATATCAATCAGAGTTTAGTGGATGCCGGAGCATCAATCGAATACCCGGAGGTGAGAAGATTTCAACAAGAAACGTTGAAACGATCGCTAAAACCAAATGATCGAACATCTAGGGTGAGATTCAATCACTGAATCAGATCGATTAGGACTCAATTCAATTCAATGATCTGATCGAGTGTTTCTTTAGAGTTACAATATATTATGTAACTAGAAAAACAGCAACTCCACGGAGTAGCAAATCCCACCGAACAAAACATGTTTTAATAAAAAAAATTGAGCCAAATTCATCCACTGGTATTTAAATTATCAAAGATTATGTCTATATGAAACATGGTTGCCATTTTGAAATTCAGCTGTCATCTTTAGATTTCTTCTTTAGCAGAGAATTTTCGTCCAATGGTATCTGGGTTATCAAAGATTACTTTTTTAATGAAAAATGGCAGCCATTTTGAAATTCAGCTATCGCCTTTGAAATTTCTTATGAAGCAGATCTCCCTAAACATGAAAAATGGCAGCCATTTTGAAATTCAGTGGCCATCTTGATCATTTATTTTTGAGCAGAACTTCTTTGTCTCTAGGCATCAGCATATAGAATTTGAACCAAATCCGTCAACTGGTATTTGAGTTATCAATGGTTACGTTCTTTTATGAAAAATGGCGGCCATTTTGAAATTTAGCTACCACCTTGAAAATCCCTTCTCGAGCAGAGCTCTTATGTCCCTAGGCATCATCATGTAAAATTTGAACCAAATCCATACAATGGTAATTGAGTTATCAAAGATAATGTTTTTTTATGAAAAATGGCCGCCATTTTGAAATTTAGCTGCCATCTTGAAAATCTTTTCTTGAGCAGAGCTCCTATGTCCCTAGGAATCAGCATCTAAAATTTGAACCAAATCCATTCAATGGTCTTAGTTATCAAAGATAACGTTTTTTTTTACAAAAAATGGCTGCCATTTTGAAATTTGGTGGCCATCTTGAAAATGTCTTCTTCAGCAAGGCTCCTTTGTACCAAGGCAATAGCATATAAAATTTGAACCAAATCCATCCGCTAGTATTTGAGTTATTAAAGATTATATTTTTTCCGAAAAATGGCCGCCATTTTTGAATTAAGTGGCCAAATTGAAAATTCCTTCTCGAGCAGAGGTCCTACACCCATAAGGCATAAGACTATAAAATTTGAATGAAATCTGTCAACCGGTATTTGAGTTATTGCCCTGACACACGAACGGACGGATGAACGGACGAACGGACGGATGGACGGACGGACGGACGAACGGACGGACGGACGAACAGACGGACGGCTTTTCTACATCCCCCTCGAACTTTGTTCGGTGGGATAATTAAATGTAAATTGGAATGTAAGCAGTCATCAATATAAATTAAATCATGCAATTCAATGTGGATTCAAAACTGAATTTGCGATGAAAATGCACGAAGACCTAGTCTCAGGCAATGTAGTTTGCTTTGTTTATGCAGGTCAACCTGATAACGTTTTGATTGGTCAATCAGCCTGAAGTCACACGTCGTGTCCATGCGATCTTGTCAATCAATAAGGTTTCACGATACACCGTGACAGCGTAGGTATTATGGGAAGCTCGAAACCGCTGAATAACTTAGCATAATATCAGCGATGATGCATTGGATTGTACATGGCGGTAATAATTCAAGATCAGATAAGTAATAAAATACCGACTTGGGCAAGGCTAGGAATTCAGTGACATTCTAAGAAATCTCCACCCACCTTTACCATGCTTGTCAAACATTGATATCCCTGAAGTTTGACATTCTGCCTCTTTGAGCCAACCTGGGGGGTAACCCATCATCCTCATCTGGTAGATCCAGGGCGGTACTTCGATGTCCCTCAAGCCCAGAGCGCCACGTAAGTTCTCACTGAATTAACAGAGTTAATCCTATAACAAGGTTTCACTCCTACAACTTCTACTTAGGGAGTTACATGTGCATGGGTGTATCTTAGCTATGAGGCAAAATTATGTTTTTCTTTTATTTATTTATTTTTTCATTTAGTATTGAATTCGAGTCTTTTTTCCAAGGCTCTGATGACTGTAGAATTGTGTTGTATATTTTTTTTTGCAATAAAACCATCTGGTGTTGAAGTCATACCTGATTTCTCCTGGTTTGAAGCTGGCAAACCGTGGATCTGTCTCAAAATTACCTTTCCTGGAAAAAAAGCAATTCAGCAAAATAGCAAATGTGATATCATTATGTCAGTATCACTCTAGAATTATTTGATATTTTTATCACTGAGTTGATATCAAATATCAACACGAGTGAGCGATATCTACGAGGCGATAAAATGATATCACGAGAAATTATATGATATTGGGTTTATCTCATGATTACAATCACCAGGTGTGATGTTCTGATCCAATTTCCAGGACATAAACTAGAAATTAGAATATCAGTTGACCGTAATTCAATACACCAATGAAACTTAAAGAGAATAAATTAACGGACCTATTTTCTCAGAAGAGAATAAATTATCTGACCTAATTTCCAACAATATTGTGGCGCGAAATGCAAATGTGATATCACACGGATATGCGTGAGATAAACGATATCACACGCATATGAGTTTGATAAACAATTTTCTGGAAAATATCACACGGATATCAATAATATCAGAAATATCAATAGCTGTTATTGTACAGATGACACATTAATCGTGGGAAAATTAGAAATATCAAATCAGTTATACAACAAATAAAAAATGAGTCCCCTTAAATCATTTGAAATCCCACGTTTTTCCTGTTCTTTAAATGTATCAAATTCCTTATACCTCTTAATCTTCTGATCATATTTTCAAAATGTTGCACGTTGTCACCTTTGGTTAACATAGCACACAATGAATGATATTCTACTAAAAGTGGTAGATTAAAATCCCTAGGATGCCCAAAAACTTAAAGAGGCATTGTCTGATAGGAGCACAATTAGAGTAGACTTGATATTTTTGTATCACAGGTTCATCGATCTACTTGCAGACTGTCAGATACTGACTCCTGTGAGTACAGTGTCAATTTCATGATTGCACACAGAATTATTGAAGTTTGAAAAGAAATTCAAAAATTCGCTCCGAATCTGATTGGCTGCCTGGGTTCAAGTCACTTGTTGACAATCATATCACATGAAATTAACTACGACTTACGAGTTTTTGCCAGTCAAACTCTGCACTGGTCCACCTTGGTTTGCCATAAATATGGCACGTCTACGGCTGATTTCCTTTTGATTCCTTGGTTCTTGGCAATCAGTTAGCATATGGTCTCCCCCACAGTTCCAACATTCATTTTTGGGACGACTGAAAGAAGATAATACTATAATGCAATTGACATATTGTATTTTGTTTCAAAACATAATGAGTAATGCCAAATGTCAACATAGCTCAGCAATATTTACAGAATAGTTAGTGGAATGCTTATTTAGTGATATACAATATAAAATGAAACATTTACAGTAAAATTATTATATTGAAGATAAGACAAGGTAAAAAAACAATTGATATTTTTGTAATGGGTATGTTGTTAAATGTTGGGAAAATGTCATCTTCTGGTAGACTTACTTTTCTTTCTTTTTTACTTTCAAAGCCTCTTCTTCAGGGTCAAGAGGTAATGCCTCTAGGAAGATCTGTACATATCTACTCTGTCAGGAATATCAACTATTATAAAACCATGTTAATCCGAATGCCACTGGGACTGGCCAAAAGTGTTCAGATTAGCCGGTGTTCATAAAACTAGGCTTTTAACATGGAAGTCTATAGCAGATTTAAAAATGGTACCAAAGAGAACAGTATAGAGGGCAGTGTTCCGACATACAAAAGCACATTCAAAAAGTATTCTTGAAACTTTTAAATTAAAGAACACATATGTGAGGATACAAAACATAGTTTTGCTGTAAAATACAAAACCTTTAAGTGAGAGCCGACTGTTTAAAAATGTTCAAAGTTTTTAAAATGGCCAAATATTACTCCTAAATATTCCACTTTCATGAAAAAGTTTATCTATTAATCTAAAATAACAATTCTGATGAGTGACACTTAGACACTCCACCTAAATGTCCATATAAGGATACGCAGGTGTTTCCCAGCCATCAGTCATCTGACAATTGTCTCCTCCTACCAGGGGCGTCCCCATTGGGTCCAGGATAAACTTGTAGTAATACTGACAATTACCAATCACCTGAATGGAACAAAATCAAGTAATGTGAGAAATAATGTGAATCATGACCAATAATACATTCAAACAATGGGTAAAAGTTGTAATACTTGAACTGAAAATCTACTTACAGCCCTTATATAACTCACCATGTGTTTTCTCCTAACTTGTTGCTTGTTTCCATGAATCAACTTGCCCTCCACCTTGTCATGAATACACACAGACGACAGCTGTAAATCATCATGTAGTCTCATTTAGTGTATCATCAGAATTTCTTTCAACAGGTTAGGTTATTTGAAATAATATACAAAATGTAATTTTAACATGAAAGCAATTGTAACTTCTTCCAAAAATTAGGTGGTAAAAGCAAAAGGGAAAAATAATATAGTAAGGCCAGCTAAAAAACAATCTAGAAATAAGGAGAGATTGTGGGTGTGTTTCATTAGAATCTAGGTAAATCACCTGTTCTTGTTCATTTTAATATTTTCAATTCATGCTCATATTTTTACTCATTTGATATATGTATATTCAAACCTCTTTAATCTACACTGTCCATTGAGAATAGTCAAAAATGTTTGGATTAGCAAATAAGCCACTATAAAATGATTAGTGTTTATTTTGTATTCTAATATGATATGTGACGTCACAATAGCTAGAACAATTGATTTACTGATCTATATAGGAGTATGTATGACCACTAAAATTCACAAATCACTCCGGAATAGCCCGACAACGGTAAAGTCGGCAGACATAACCGTCGCTTCAATTAGATTTTCATGAACTGTATGTTTAATAGAGCACCTAGACTAAACTCTTCTGGAACAACAATCAATCAAACTGTCTTAATACTCATTGTACAGTTAATAATGTTCTACTATCGAAATAAAATCTTTAATTTAACCGATCAAAATGAGATAACGGGATAACGTTCACTGTAATTACTTTCTAAATTACTCAAATTCAGATTCCGTTGTCATTGACGATATCGAAGATGCTATATTGTGGTGATTCACAACCCAATTTGATCCAAAATGGGATTCCATATGATACATTATCACAAGACCTGAATGCATGCACAGAATAAGCGACAAAAAATCCCATGAAATGAGGACCAAGTGATTAAACAGTTGAAGCGACGGTTATGTCCGTCATTTGTGACAACGGTATCTGACTTTAACTGTAGTCAGGCTATTCCAGTGTGCAAATGCAAATAGTTGTGTTTCTTGTCTGTTTATCATATTAGAACAAAGACCTCAATTTTATGATTAATGTCAAATGTCGAACCTCAAATTTTAATGTGACCATTGTCAAAGACCTCAATCGCTACGCGATTCCAGTCTTTTAACAATGAACAGAATTTCTGGTCATATATCACGCCATAAATCATAAAATCTTGGTCTTTGTTCCAAGTATGAGTTCTCTGGTACATTAATTTCAAAAATAGTTGTCATTTTCTGTTGGTGTTTCTGTAGATAATGTGTTAAAGTTCCTTTACTTACTGGAGGTGTTATCATTTCCATGTTGTCACCGTTGTCATTAGCAACAAGGTCATGAATGTAGTTCTCAATCTGGACCTTGTATTTCCTGAAATAAAAATGAACTCACATTTGGAAAGTTTTGCTTCATTTCTAAAATAACAAACACAAGAAATAAGACATCTAATTTGTTCAACAAAATTAACAGAACACAGAACAAATTAACAAAAAGTGAAAATTGTCAATGGATTACATGCAGAATGAATTAAGTTGCTAAATAAACAAATATTCAAGCTGTTTGCAAATCACACATCTTGATTATGCTATATCAAAAGTCAATATGAATATTTGGGTCTTCACAATATATACTGCAAATTCACAAGAAAACAACTGTGTACATATTTATTATGTTTGAAAAACACTTTTTGTTCAAACACAGAGTTCAGATATAAGCAATTACTGATCTTCTTCAATTTGCAGGCAATTGCAGGCCCGTAGCCAGAGGGGGAGCTGGGAGAGCCCCCCTGGCCAGAAATTCTTTTAAAATCATGCAGTTTTTCACTATTCTGACAATTTTGGCATGATTTTTAGCCAAAAAAAGCTCCCCCTCCCTGGTAAAAGCTGGTTACGGGCAAGAATTGGATCAATGGAATGAAGAACTAGTTTCATACCTGGCAGGAGGACAGTCCATGAGTTGAGTTAAAAGACTGGGTCCTTACCTGACAATTGGATTGTTTTGACAAAGGACTAGGTTATACCTGGCAATGATCTGGGATAAAGGACAAGGTTATACCTGGCAATGATCTGGGATAAAGGACTAGGTTCATTCCTGGCAATATAATCTGGGATAAAGGACTAGGTTTAGCTGGCAATAGGATTGTTGAGACAAAGGACTAGGTTATACCTGGCAATATGATCTGGGATAAAGAACTAGGTTCATACCTGACAATTGGATTGTTGAGACAAAGGACTAGGTTATACCTGGCAATATGATCTGGGATAAAGAACTAGGTTCATACCTGACAATTGGATTGTTGAGACAAAGGACTAGGTTATACCTGGCAATATGATCTGGGATAAAGGACTAGGTTATATCTGGCAATATGATCAGGGATAAAGAACCAGGTTCATACCTAGCTATAAGATTGTTGAGACAAAGGACTAGGTTATACCTGGCAATGATCTGGGATAAAAAACTAGGTTCATACCTGACAATTGGATTGTTGAGACAAAGGACTAGGTTATACCTGGCAATATGATCTGGGATAAAGGACTAGGTTATACCACCTGGCAATGATCTGGGATAAAGAACTAGGTTCATACCTGGCAATAGGATTGTTTAGATAAAGGACCTGGACTAGTGGACTAGTATCATCATCTGCCCCCCATCTGAAACAAAAGTCAGTTGTCCATAAAAATCAATTATGAATAACACCTAACTATCATCAGATTATGTCACACTCTTTACTGGACACTCAAAGCATAATTTCACCAAGATTCGTTAAAAATATGTTGCTGTTTTTATAAATGGGAATTAAGACATGCAATTTGCCACTTGACTTTTTGATATTCCACCTGTCATATGAGTTTCCCAGTGTGAGAATTGCAGTAGTTACTGAGACCACAAACTAATTTATTTTACTTTTCATTATTGAAGTTATTAATTTGCGATTTTCACACTGGAAAATATAAAATATGACATAAATGTAATGCTAATTAAGGAGAAATGGATTTGTTTCTTAAACAAATATAGCAACAATATGATCTAACATAGATCTTATTAAGCAGTAATTAAAATTGTTCTGGAAGTGAGTTCATGCAATTTTCTTCTGAATCATTATCTTTTGCAGGAATGAAGTCATCAACAGAAACATTTTTTCATCAACTTCTGGCTCAATTTTCCCCAATCATGCCTACTCCAGCTTTCTCATTTACTTGCACTACTAAATTCTAGTAATTATTGTGAGTTGAAAATGACTAATTATAAACATGCTTACCTTGTAGCATTCAGAAGTCTTTTATATTTGGATAGTTCTTGGTCTAAGACAATTAAGGATAATAAGTATTTATTCATTAAATTCAATGCAGTTATTTAATAAATAAGGCTTAATGTACTGAGAAGTTTTGATGGGGTTTTACTAACTTATCTCCCTAATACTCTACTGGACATACAAGGACAAGGAATCTTGTACAATAAATTGTACACATATTTTGTCCACATATATGGTGATTCAGTATTATCATACTTCTTGGTCTTAATCAAACCCCTTTTTAGCAACATAGATGCTTTTTGTGTCTGTCACGCTTATCTGTGGTAAATTTTCCCCAAACTAATATGAAGGTACACCAAAATAAATCAAGACATCTTGCCTAGGTGCAATTTTATAACAATGTCATACAAGCCAATGTCTCAAATTGATGTCTTTGAAAAATTAGCCTTAACAAAAGCTGAATTTGCAATTATAAGATTTAACATTGAAATTAGATTCAGACTCCTGCTTCATATAATATTTTAGTGAATAAGAAATTTTTTGAGGTTATTTATAAAATAATATGTATGTATGTATTGATGATAAATTCTAGACTGACATCTTTCCTTGCTAATGTCTCACTAAGTCACTTCTTATCTCTGAAAATATGATTGTAAAATGCAATAATATCAAGGATATAAAAATAAGTGTTTCTTTTAGTCCATATTTCTGAGACCTTGCCTACCACTATCAAACTCAGGAATCTCCACACATTGAAATAGGTGCTGCACTTCGATAACACAAAAATACCTCCAACAATTTTTCACGCGAAAGAATAAATGCAATTGAGTTTACATGTAAATTACTATCAATTTTCCCAATTTAAATGGATAAGTTATCAAAAAATTATTGATAATTTTTATCAAACATCAAGTAGACATATATTTCCGCCTTCTAAGCAATACACTTATTACATTTCCGTTCATGATGAGAAGAATATCAAAGAGGCTCACTGCGACTGATTGAGAATGGCAGACATTAGCATTAGTTAGCCATTAATAATTATTAAAAGTCAAATTACTGCATCCATAGGTTATTTACTCAAACCAAACAAGTAGAAATAGAAAGATGTGAATCTCAGCTATAAATTAAGTGCAAAATCTGTCACAGGGAAGCAGGTACCATTTTGTATAAGGGCTTGAGCAAGCTATTGGTAGCACTTTCATATTGGCACCCAGAAAAAATGCAAGGCTTAAGATACAGATGGGAAATCAGTCTTATTAATTAGGTATACCCACTATATGTCTGAGGAAGATATCATTTTTTTGAAAGATGAATGATATTTTTTTATAAATTTTCATGTATCAAAATATGCCTTATTCTCTATGTAACAAATTCCCAAGAAAAAATCCACCTTTACATATATACTTCAAACATGTACTTGAATAGAGTAAGTTAAAGTAATTTGGCTTCATTGGAAAGATTAAGGAATTTGCTTTAAAATGATATGCAACAAGTGTGTCCATAATAGTGTATAGAGTTTTTATAACCGCTTGTAGCACACAACCGTTGGTGTAACATTTCATTATAAATTTTATGTTAAAAAAGACTGAATTTTTCAACATATTTTCCAATCTTTGCTTACAGTTTTTTTAAGATGATATCAAAAGTACGGAATGTTAAAATTCTGTCACTAAAAAAATTATAGAAAAGGCTGTAGTGGTTCCTGAGATATTGGCTCTCAAAATAACTAACTGATTTTCCGACACGCAAATGTCTTTTCCGAAGAGCATGTGTATTTTAAGACTGAAGTAATATGATACCCTAAAAACTATTTTAAAACAAAATGCATTTAGTTTCTTGAATATTCAAAACAAATAAATAGCTTTGAACTGTCATATATACCTGTAAAATCAATTTTAAAATTCCGACACAAGAAAAAAGTCCTTTCCGAAGAGCTCTTCGGAAAAGACAAACTCAAAACAGTGCATTAACCAACAATATTGAAGAGAAACACACTGGAATATATTTTCTGATGAACTTTTATACATAAAATATGTTTACTGAAGTAACTAAGACTTAAACAGGAACTACAAAAGTAAATGTGTCCTTTCCGAAGAGCAATTCAGTCTCTGATTAGGAATGCTGTATTGGATGTCTATATAACTAACTTTTCTACTGATGTATAAAGGCATTAGCACAATGTTTACAAATATAACATTGAATCTTGATTTGAACAGTACTGTAAAACCCTTTAAAACACTCAAGTGTAAAATTGCAAATGAAGAATGCCGCAAATATAAAATTGTATCTTCATCACTATTTTTCCTGTGATAATAGGTTCAATTCACTGACAATTACCACCAACAATTGAGTCGTTTCTAGGCCTACATGTCCCCAGCCCAGCAACTAAATGAAGGACCCACGGTCCTATGCAGTTTGGAACCTTCAGAGGAATTTATATCCTGACTTTCAAACAAAAATATTGATTTGGATTTGTAGTCTCGAACTTTGAGAAACTTAGATAGCATAGTTATGTGACCTAGTTTGATGACCTTTGACCTTGAAAATTTTACTTATTCAGAGCTCAGTAAGGTCTTTTGTGATTAAGCTGACCAAAATTTACATCCAAAAATCAATTTGAAAAACAACTTTTTTTGACCTTTCGAAGGTCACTGAAGGTCAAGTAAAGGTCAAATCCTAAAACTAATGTCAGATTTGAACTCCTGGCAATTTGTAGATGATTTTCAAAAAAAATTTGGTCAAATTGAAGCAAGTTGAAAAATAACTTATTTTTACTGTTTTTTGACGTCAAATATTTCAAAAACGGTAAAAATTTGATGCTGACATATATTGAGAAATATGTAGGGAATGCTTAAATCTATTAATGATGTAATTTATTGCAGGAAATGATCAAGTATAAGGCAAACTTTAAGAATCTTGTCAATCACAAAACCTGCCATTGACTTTATACATGAGAAAGTTTCCTGAAAATGACTAAGTCCTACTTTTTTTCAAATTTTATAGAGTAAACACCAAAAACCGTAATTCCAAGAGCTTAGAAATCTTCAGAGGACATAAGTTGCATATACACCAACTACTAAAAGTTATTTGAAAGTTCTACTTCACCAAAGTGTCTAGTATTTACAGAAAAGTTGACTTTTTGACGTCAAAATCCGCAATTTCTCGGAAACCGGGCGAACTTGGGAAATGGCGATGATAGGTCAAATAGGCATTATGGATATGCATAAAATGAATGTGGATATGACTCAATCCGAATAGCAGTTTTAATTTGTGCAGCCAATGTTGGCGGACGGACGGACGGACAGACGGACGGACGGACCAACGGACGGACGGACGCCTGGTCAATCCCATAGGCTCACTGTGTGAGCCAAAAACTACAAGTACATTCATGATAGCCTTAAAGTGTGGACTTTAATGATGTTTTGCCCTATTATCGCCCATATTTGAAAAATCACAGTTAATGATGTAATCAGTGGTAAATCTCGAAAACATGAATAGAAACAAATGTACAATCTCCGAAAATTGCTCCCTCAAATTCAATCTGTTAAACAGTATTTAGCAATACACTAAAAAATGTCTTTTCCGAAGAGCTTTGGACAAGGGTAGTTTCGTCATATGGTACACATATATACTATCATGATTGTCTCATATATAATCAAACATTATTAAGGACTTTGTAATGATTCAGACAGAAGGAAAAATCAACAGGATATTCAACATTATTAAGTTTTATCGTAATTGGAAAAATGATTGAACTTTTTTGCCGAAATCACGGGCCAAGTGACGAGATTGGTCTTCCTAATTATTTTAGACATATATCCCGACCGCAGCCAGATTGAGCCCGTTTTACGACATTTTGGTAGGACTGGCAAGAACGGGTAAGAACTAGTTTGGTGTGATAGGGGGTAAGGTAGCAAAAACGTTTTGAAAAGAATTGAATTTTTTTTTCGATGTCAATCTTTTCTAAAAATGCTAGACTTTCATAAAAACCAATATTGATTGTCTAACCAGGTTAAAAGGAAGAATAAATCATGTTTTAGATATCATTGTACCATTGGTTTCTATGAGAACTAAAATTTTGAAATGCATTTTTCTCAGTACCATTTTCATGAACTGGTAAGTTCATTTCTCGCTTATTTATGAACCGATTTTCTTAATTTTTTCGGCAAAAAACATGGGAGGATGAATTATTGCTTTGAATTGTGGCTTATTAGAAGATATGAGCGACCTCTAAAAGTTGGTTTTAAATAAATTCACAAATTTTGGAACAAAAAGTCTGTCAAAAACCACTTTTTGAAATTAAAAAAAAAAGTTTCACATATCACACTTTGATAAGATTGGGTAAGACTACAATATAAGCCAAAGTGGTTTAAACTTTATATGGGGCCTTTAAATCATCAATAAAAAGTGCAAAATAAGATTTTCTTGGAACGTGTACATTCTCCAATTTTGAAAACCAAGGCAATGCTTATGTATGAAATATGGGAAGTTGCCTAAAGTGGGGAACAAAAATAAACCTCAACCATCAAAAGTTGTCACAATGAGCTAAATTCAAAGTTTTGTGTCTCAAACTCTCCCAAGCAGTAGAATTAATAATTCCCGTTCACTTTAACTCATTTGCGCGGTCAGAGTTTTGTCGCCAATACGCTATATGGCGTACATATGGCGTACGTCGACTCCAGGTCGACAAGCTATAGGAAAGTTTTAGCAGACTTAAAAAGATGTCACCCTTGTATTGCAGTGCCAATGTTTGGTACTCACATTGACAGGGAGTGATTTAAAATTAATTTGGCGAAGCAAAGTTTCTAAAAAATAATATTTTGGTCACTTATTGATTTATTTTGTAACAAATACGAATCTTGAAGTGATCAGACATTGTGGTATTTAAAAAGGGCTAGATTTAGACGGGTAATGATGATCAAATCGCTGCTATATTCAATGATTCTGGTAGTGAAGCCTAATATTTGAAGCCTCAGAAAATGTAACTTAAGAACGATGATGGGCCTGACAACTCTGTACCCGGGGGACAGGCCAGAGAAGCTGCTGGAGTACACCAAAGTAATATTTAGTAGGGGTCTTATGTTTTTTGCAATATATGGTGTTTAGGATTGTTTATCATCAGTGCCTCTAATTGTGATGAGTTCATACGTTAACAAATGATTAATACATATGTTTCTAATTATGAGTAAAAATCTGGTGGTGTCATCTATGTTGGTTTAGATTTTATGTCACTTTCAAATTGGCAGGCATGAAAATCCTAATTTTTAGTAAATTAATTACCGCTCAGTAGCTTTTAAAAATAACCAGAACTACGGCAACGCCAAAGCGTAGCGAATCCCATCGAACAGAAATGGATGGCATTTTTACATTTGAAATATATAGCAAATATCATAAAATAACACCCATACGAAAGGCCATCATTTTCAGAATGCTTGAACCCTAGCCAAGTTGTCATCAGAAGTAGTAATATGCTTTTAAGTAGCCACATATAAAATTCTTTAAAAAAATGGCAATGCTGGCCATTTTTTAAAATGGCCGCTTACTACCCAAAATTTCATAAGACAGTATGCAATCCTTATGAGTATTCACATATCAAATATGAACAAAATCACTCTATTACTTTTTGAGTTATAATAAAAAAAAAGTAAAATAACACACATAAAAATGGTGGCCATTTTTCAAAATGGCCGACTACTCCCAAAAGTCTTATTAGACAATGTGGCATGCTTAAAGTATTCACATATCGAATATGAACAAAATCGCTCCAATACTTTTCAAGTTATCGTAAAAAATGTAAAAATGACAGCCATTTTTTAAAATGCCGCCTACTATGCGAAGTGTCATCAGACAGTGTGCAAGGCTCCTGAGTATTCACATATCAAATATGAACAAAATCGCTCCACTACTTTACAAGTTATAGTAAAAAACGTAAAAATGGTGGCCATTTTTCAAAATGGCCGCCTTATACCCAAAGTGTCATTAGACATTGTGCCATGCTTAAAGTATTCACATACCAAATATGAACAAAATTGCTCCACTACTTTTTGACTTACAGTAAAAAATGTTAAATAACACACGTAAAAATGGCGGCCTTTTACCCAAAATGTCATTAGACATTGTGCCATGCTTAAAGTATTCACATACCAAATATGAACAAAATCGCTCTACTACTTTTCAAGTTACAGCAAAAATTGTAAAATGACGTGCAAAGGCAGCCATTTTTCAAGATGGCTGCCATGTATTTCTTCTATATTTACATTTCTAGCTTAATCAATGTTTTATATAACTTTTTTACATATCAAACATATTGCTATTACAGTTTTATATGCAGTACCTAAATTACTGTAAAATCGGCACTAAAATGACAGCCATTTTTTTCTGAGCGGCCATTTTGAAAATCAGTTTTCGAGCAGAACTTCTACCCCCATTGGGTATATGTGTACAAAATATGAACAAAATCGGGCCAGCGGTATTTGAGTTATTGCCCGGACGGACGGAGGCGTTCCCTATATCCCTCCGAACTTCGTTCGATGGGATAATTAAATACCGCGCGAAAGAGTTAAGTACCACAATAAATGAATCCAAAGCTTCATGCCTGCAAATGATGGATAAATCGGATCCCTACCAAATCGAACCAATGTTTTCATGAATCGCCATGTTTGTGATCCAAGGAGGATTGACTTCCAGAATGCAACATCAGCCATGATACTTTACAGGAAATAACAGGAAGTGACAAAAAAGTTTGCATTTTTAGACATATTTTGAACAAAGATAACATAGTTCTGTTTCGACCTCCAGTCAATTCAACTAGTTCCACATACCATTTACTGGTCCAGGATCACAATGTTCATGGTCAGAATGACCCTAAACATGATGAAATTACCTTTTCAGCCCTCTGAAAATTTGACTGACAAATAGCTAAAAGTAAGAGGTAGGAAAGGTCACTGAACAGAATCTTTTGAATCTTTCAGAAAATGTGAATATATTACTCTAAATGATACAATCTTTGAAAAAAAATGATTTGAAAAGCGATCTATTTTCTTTTTTTATGACCGCCATTTTTGTTTCAGACAATTTTCTAGAATTTCAAAGATTGTATCAGTTAGAGCATTATATTGGGCACATTTTCTGCAAAATTCTGTTCAGTGACCTTCCCTAGCTCCTACTTTTAGTTATTTTTATTTTTCATCATGTTTAGGGCCATTCTGACCATGAACATTGTGATCCTGGACCTGTAAATGGTGGTATGGAACTAGTTGAATTGACTGGAGGTCAAAACAGAACTCTGTTATCTTTGTTCAAAAAATGTCTAAAAATCCAAAATTTTTGTCACTTCCTGTTTCGTCATTTCCTGTTAAGTATCATGGCACCTTAACCTTATTTACTCGTGACAGGTTTCAAAATGGCGGAACAGCATTTTGAAAGCTGGCACATGTCATGTTGCATTCTGGGAGCCAATCCTCCTTGCGGCGTAATCGGGCTCAAAAATCACCTCAACATTTGAAAAGTAGGCATAACATGTGAATATCTACTTCAAATGTTCTTATTTGTCATAAGATCTACTGACACAAATTCCACTATATCTGGACTTACTAGGACGGAGGAAATAGAGCACTGAATACACATTTATTACATGTGCGACAGCATGTAATTTTCATAGTAATTCTTTATGTTCCCCACTGTACCCTTCTAGTCGAAAGCCCATGGCCAAATATACGGGGTCCGCGCATTGTACCAAAACCCATTATACCGACATGCACTATACCGACGCGCATTGTACCGAAACACAATATACCAACGTGCATTGTACCGAAATGTGTTGTACCGACGTGCATTATACCAAACAGCATTCCAACGAACAAGAATTAGATCGAAAGTTGTTTAGACACTGGAAACATGTTTGTACATCGATAATACATTCATACATTTGTTCAATTTTCCTCAGTATGGTTTCCCATTCGTTCAGTATGTTTGTCCGTACATACCGTACGCACCGTTCGTAAGGTCATTTTGACGTTACTACGTCAGTACCTTAATAAACCCCTTAGTTATTCCTTTCGTCTGTAGCCTATGTCGTACTGTCATACGTTACACATATTTGTTCAGTCAACTCCTGTCGGTTACTGTGAATTCCGGAGCGTGCAAAGATGATGTAAACAAGTAAAGACTGAAATTTCTCAGATGACAAACCAAGATACACCCATCTTTACCCCATGCAAGACATTGGCATCGGAAGGTTGGCCGTTCGGGGGGGTTCACTCCAAATAATTTGGGTAGGTATGTGCAGCACGGTATATTTTGGCTTTGAGCATAAAACATGGAAATTTGCCAATCTGAGAGGAAAAAACATGGAAAATCGTCTAAGAAAGTACCTTTTTTCAGTCAAAATTCAGTTTTTCTTCAGAAAATTGTGTAAAATTTGTTAAATCAGTTGCTGAGGCCTAAATCACTAGAAAAGTTGATTTTTTAGTCATTTATTAGTCTCAGAGGAATTGTAAATGAAAACCTTCTATCGTGATAGGAAATTAACATGGAAAAAATGCTCAAAAAGGGGGTCTTTGAGGCAGCACATAGTTATTAAGAAGTATATTGGAGTGAAACCCCCGGGGCGAACGCCCCCCCCCCCCTTTCCCGGATTTTTTTAGATATCAAACCGAGCCTAGAATTGAAAGCTCTAGAGCTAATTAAAGTCAACGTGTCAATTGTCTACATCAAGCAGATTTCTCAGAAAATTTCTCAGGAACCCATACAGTATGTAAATACTTTGAAGAATAATAATGCAAACTGTGTATTTTACTAAAAGTCTACGTTTTTTAGTCAAAGTCAAGTTTTCTAAAAACACGTTTTTTCTTGGAATATTGTGCTGAGATATGTTCAGAATGAACCAGAGAGGGTCTAATTTTGAAAGTTTTCTGGGGCATGCCCTCCGACCCACTAGACTGCACTTCGTGTGTGGTGCACTTCAAGCATGACCCATCCATCCCAAAAGTCGCCCCCTCCCTTGGCAAATCCTTCGACCCTGCAAGATATTGCCATCTTTCATTCTAAAAAGTCATAAATGCAAGTTGAGATTTACTTGTGACATCACTGCTTTATGAACATCAACAAAATAGCAACAGATACATTTTGCGGCGAGCATCCATGAGCATTGTAAGAGGGGGAAAGTCCCAGAGTCCAAAGTCCCAGTCACCCGCTCACTTAAGATATCAATTATATTCCTGCTTGTTATTTACCTATAACATTGACAGTTCGGTGTCAACGCACATCGTATATTATTTTTTGGTACAATGCGCTTCGGTACAATGCGTGTCGGTATAATGCGCGTTGGTGTTATGCACGTTGGTATAATGGGTTTCCATACAATGCGCATTGGTATAATGGGCAACGGTATATTGTGTTTCGGTATAATGCGCTTTGGTATAATGAGGTGATCCCAAATATACGACTTGTCAATTATTTTCGTTTGCACTTTTGAGTCTTTTACATTTTTATCACTTTATCAAAGGATACTTTCTTGTCTCAACTTGAGTACATTTTGTAAATTATTCGAAGTTGAATTGTCGGAATTGTAAGTAGATCTAGATCCCCTACTTTCGTTTTCTCTTTCTCCAATTTTCAGCTTCCGGTTTGTGTTTAAAGTTGAATCATGCTGTTCTTGAGAAGAATTCGTCCCATTTTCTGGGGTTTGTAGGTTTCTTCTCGGAATACTACTCGGGCAAATATCCAAATGCGTGCTTCCTTTTTCTCGATCAGCTTCAAATTCATCAAAAAGAGAAGAATCGCCAAAGACATCCATGTTACTCCACTAGGGGCAATCCGCGTGAAGTTCTATTTTTTGGTTCGGTTTTTGGCGCATGCGTATTAAATTCAGAAATTCAATTGGTTCAATGTATCATGACGCATGCGCAATTTATTATTACTGCAATCTGCTGGATTGTTGCAATGAAATCCAACGGTTTATACATGTACTTAGCAATGTTGCAATCTAAAGATTGTTGCTCTGTGCAATCTGGATTGTTACAATCTGACAATTTGAAATACCCTGACATTGCTGCAATCTGCAATCTGGATTGTTCCAATCTGTTTTAAACATCTCCTCTCAGAATGGCCACATGGCGTAGAATAATGGAAATAGCGTCGTGAATCCCGGGACAATGAATCTTGGATCCAAGTACGTCATTAATGGTCGAAAATCAAAATATTGACAAATTTATAACCTAAAAGGCCGAACGATTATGCGGCAAAAATTAAAACGTGGGTTGTCAACATATTGTATTAGCTTTGATCTCTTAGAATCCGTTGAATCCTAAGCGATTGGAGTTGTTTAGATCACTTAACGAATGATATGAAATGATGAGGATTTGGGTTTTTTCAAAGTCTATAATGGCGGCCAATGGGGGATTCGTTTAGCAAAATATCCCGAAAATTAAATCATTAAAAGGCCGAAAGATCTGTGGATGGATTTTGCTGTTTTATATATCAAAATGAACACTTCGTTGGGTCTAACAAGGATCCGTTGAATCCTAAGAAAATAAATTATTCGCTAAAAAGTTATTAAGATTTTAAATTTTGATGAAGACTGCTCTACATTGAAATCTTTGGGCCATGAAATGTCGATTTACGCGCATGCGTTGTGACGTTATTTCCATTATTCTATGCCACGAAGAACCTTAGCAATGTTGCAATGTGCAGATTGTTGCAATGTGTGCAATCTGCAATCTGGATTGTACAATCTGTTTTCTTCTTCTCTCAGAATAGCCAATGATAGCAATGTTGCAATGTGCAGATTGTTGCAATGTGTGCAATCTGCGGGTTTGTAGAAAAAACCGGGTACCGGGTACCGGGTAGTAAATTCTCCATGCTGGGTTCAAACTTGGTACCCGGTACCCGGTCGAAAAAACCGGGTACCCAAAAAACGAAAAATACGATTATATAACATATTTAGATCATTAGAAAACGTGTAAGATTTGTTTTGAATATACAAAAATGTATGTAACTTCCTTCAAAATTGAGCTAGAAGCTTCAAATAAAAAGCATTTTAAGGTTCGTTCCTCCATCATCATGGTCATATTTTCATAGGTTATGGGGTGGGGTGCGATCGCCTATGACATTGTAAGACGTAACAATTTACACTTCAGTGGACGTTTCGTCGAAAATTGGGATAACTTAAATTATGATTAATAATCAAAATCTTACACGTTGCATCATGTAAATTAACACACGTCACCTCTCTGCTAAAGTAACGATAGCTATTTACAGATTTAAATCATAATCAAAACTGTTCACGTACCAACATAGGCTACGAACTATTGAAATTAGAGGTGACGAAATTTTCGAACGGAATGCGTGACATATACGTGATTCGCGTGAAAAGTCCGAACGGATTGCGTACGTTTTTTTGGTGTTCGTATTTTTGCTGTATCGGCGAACTGTTTTAGAATTTTTTCTACAGAAATATTTTTGCTTGACAATACCAGGTAAAATGCGTATTTGCGTGACATTTTCTGGCGTGACTTCAAATTCTTCAGCAAATGCGTGACAAATACGCAAATTGCGGGACAGTTGACAGGCCTAATAACCGATGAAAATATGACCATGATGGAAGAAAAGAGCCTTAAAATGCTTTTTATTTGAAGCTTCTGGCTCAATTTTGAGGGAAGTTGCATACATTTTTGTATATTCAAAACAAATCTTACACGTTTTCTAATGATCTAATTATGTTGTATATTAGTATTTTTCGTTTTTTGGGTACCCGGTTTTTGACCGGGTACCGGGTACCAAGTATGAACCCAGCATGGAGGATTTACTACCCGGTACCCGGTACCCGGTACCCGGTTTTTTCTACAAACCCTGCAATCTGCACTATGATTTTGGATTGTATAATCTGTTCTATGCTACTCCTCTCAGAATGGCCAACAATCCCCACAATCTTAGCAATGTTGCAATCGGCATATTGCTGCAATCTGCAATCTGAATTGTTACAATCTGGTTTACACTTCTCACAGAATCTCAAACAATCTGAACAATGTTGCAATATGAAGATTGTTGCAATGTGGATTGTGCAATTTATTATTGTTGGGGGCCCATTGTTACGATATATGCAATCACATTTGAAACTATTTAAATGGTTCATCCGCAATAGCAATACATGTATGCAATATACCTTGTACACTACAGTGAGCAATATATGTACATTTAAAGATTGTTGGCCACTCTGCCGAGAGGAGAAGTATAAAACAGATTGTACAATCCAGATTGCAGATTGCACACATTGCAACAATCTGCACATTGCAACATTGCTAACATTGTTAAGATCATGTTGGTCATTCTGAGAGAAGAAGTATAAAACCGATTGTACAATCCAGATTGCAGATTGCACACATTGCAACAATCTGCACATTGCAACATTGCTAACATTGTTAAGATTTTCATTTATGGAACTTCTAAAAATACAATATCTTTGATTACGCCTTAGTCAATAACAAGGAAATCATGTTATACAATTTTCTTTTCAAATGTAGTCTGATAATCTTCTTGTTTGATACAGATTCCTTCGTAGTTGTATACATAACAGGGGCGGATCTGGGAACCAACAAGGGGGGGGCCAAAATTCTGTTGGGAGAAAAAAACGTCCGCGCTTGCGCGGAAAAAATTTTTGGGCCCCTAAAACCAAAATGTGGGCCCAAATTCTGAAATTTTGAGGCCCATTTTCTTCAAAATTTGGCCTAAAATTAAAAAATAAGGCCTTAGAAGGCCCATTTATGACCAAAAAGGCCTACTTTTTGGGGCAACAAGGCCTTTTTTGGCTTAAAAATTTTTTTGGGCCCAATTTTTTTTTCTGGGCCCACCCGAGGGGGGGGGGGGCCCGGGCCCCTGGGCCCCCCCCCCCCCCCAGATCCGCCAGTGCATAATCACGGTAAAGTCACAACTGTCCCCGAAATCAAATACTGAATAATAACGTACAAAACTATGATTTCCGACAATGGTGGTTTATGATACAAAAAAATGAATTAACACGATCGGACAGGTACAAACTCATTCAATAACGCACTGACCTATAATACAGACAGCAATTTTCATAAACTTTTGGAAGTTCTAAGAACTTAGATTGTAACGTAAAAGTATAACGTACATAACTTTAATATCACATCAGTTTAAGTGATCTCATTTTATTAACTAGTTGATATGATCATCACTCAATCGCTTTTCTCACTTGTGTTAATATTAACTCGTTGACTAAATGATATCACTCAGAATGTTGTGCTGCACTTCCAGCATTGACATTGTCAAACAAGAACTAGTCATGTTAATTCGTATTTTTATTCGTACTCATCATGTGTACGATACATATCGCCAGCCGTTATTTTCTACCCTGCGCGCAGAGTCTAGTTAAACTAAGACGAAGCTCTCTTTTAAGAAGTGAAGTCAAACGAATGCAAAGGGTAGTTATTTTCAACATCCGACCAAATTTGCCTCCAGCCCATTGCTCATTTATTTCACAAAACACTGGGGTTTTGACCACCAATCTCTTCTTGATCTGGCCATTGGAAAAACTGTTAATTCTCTCCGTTATCAACTTAACTTTCTCGTCTTCAACATCATGATCAGTTTCATCATAGTTCATTTTATTGAATGATATACCGGTTTCATCATATATATATATTTTTTTTATTATTATTATTATGAGCTTTATTATACTTGTATCCCACATTTGGGCAAAGTGTACAGCTTTAAACAGAAAAAATGAAAAAGCTTAACTAATTATCTATAAAGTATATTAACTAATCAAAGGGTGCTTGATCATTGCAAGATTTTATTGGATGCATTTCGTGTTTTTTTCTCTCTCGATAAAAATATTAGATATATATTTTGCTAGTATATTTAATATTATTCCCTCTGAATTAAATAGAAACATTAATTTATGTTCCACGTTATTCATGTTTTCTAAATTTTGACAGTGTTTTTTTTTTTATCCATGTAACTTGACCGAACATCTTTTAACTTATTGCATTCTAATAGGAAATGGCATTCTGAACCGGTTTTCTTGTTACACATTAAACATTTTCTTTCTTCAATAGGGGTAATTGGTTTTGTGTAACGACCTGTTTCGATTTCTAATTTATGTGCGCTAATTCTTAGCTTTGTCAAGTTATTTCTGTCTATTTCATTTTTGATTAAATCCAAGTAGGGTTCCTTGTTCCATTTTGCTTTTATTATCTTATAAAACCTCAATTTACCATTATTTATTTTATTTTAGTTTCCCAAAATTGTATGTATCTATTTTCCAGTAATTTCTCAATTTCTCTTGGTTTTAAGTTTAAATAGTTTGGTGAAGTACCATTGTAAATATATTTAAGTACATCATTGATGTGCGTGAGCCATGATTGTTTATTCATATCTGTCAGTTGTTTATTTACCTCAAGGGCTTCACGTAGAAGCGAGTCGGTTCCTTTATTGTTAATATGATTAAGATATTTCATTTGTTGATAAAACAAAGAAATAAATAGTGGAAACCTACCTAAATCGCCTCGTGTAGCGTCATTACTGGCCTTTCTGTTAACACCGAGTATCGATTTCATAAATGATATATGAAGAGATTCAAATGTTATTCCATCATATCCCTTTTCTAATGCCCATTGTGGGTCTTTTTTAATTTTACTCGAGTTTAAGATACCCGTACCCCATATATCAGATCCATAGAGGCATATGGGCTTTATGAGTTGATCAAATAGTTTTAAGCATAATGATGGTTTCATATTACCATTAGAAATTAGACTTAATAATTTAAATTTTGCCTTTTCAGCTTTGTCTTTGACATGCTGGGCTGCAGGTCTCATTGACCCACTTATGCTTAATTCCATTCCCAGGTAAATGTATCGTGAAACAGATTCTATTTTGTAATTTCCTATA